TTATATGAATAAAACTGCTGTTATACTAGAAGTTCCTTATGTTCTCAGGTAAAGAGAAAGCACATTACTAATATAGTACATTTTAGATCTGACCCCTTAAATAATTTAATCAATGTTTATCTAATTTTGAAGGCAGCATTAGAAGTCCAAATGAAAATCTCTCCTGCTAATGGAGATGTGCAGTTTGCTCTTTCTTGTATTGTAATGTCAACTCCTGGAGCACTGAAGAGTTAACTAAATTACTTGGATTGAATATTTGATGTAGAGAAAATAGAGTCAAAACACAGTGACAACTGATATGAAACATACTAAATGGAGGAAGATGGTCTTTGGTTTAATCCACAGAGCTTTAATTAAATGAGGCTTTCACTTTGCTGTTGCCTATCAGTTTTAGGAATATTTGTGTTCTGCTTCTGCATTGAAAAGACTTTCAGGGCCTTTTCATTATCTCTCTTGAATATGTAAGTTTCAAGCTATGATAATCAGTCAGGCCGGAAATGTTGTTACAGTCTTGGTGGCAATGGAGTCTGTTTTTCATCAGCAGAAGTTCCTTATGTTCTCAGGTAAAGAGAAAGCACATTACTAATATAGTACATTTTAGATCTGACCCCTTAAATAATTTAATCAATGTTTATCTAATTTTGAAGGCAGCATTAGAAGTCCAAATGAAAATCTCTCCTGCTAATGGAGATGTGCAGTTTGCTCTTTCTTGTATTGTAATATCAACTCCTGGAGCACTGAAGAGTTAACTAAATTACTTGGATTGAATATTTGATGTAGAGAAAATAGAGTCAAAACACAGTGACAACTGATATGAAACATACTAAATGGAGGAAGATGGTCTTTGGTTTAATCCACAGAGCTTTAATTAAATGAGGCTTTCACTTTGCTGTTGCCTATCAGTTTTAGGAATATTTGTGTTCTGCTTCTGCATTGAAAAGACTTTCAGGGCCTTTTCATTATCTCTCTTGAATATGTAAGTTTCAAGCTATGATAATCAGTCAGGCCGGAAATGTTGTTACAGTCTTGGTGGCAATGGAGTCTGTTTTTCATCAGTTCAGTTTTCCCTCCTGCTCCCCTGAAGCCCAGATTTGTATGTGCTTTGGGTGGGAAATGACAGTGAGCTGTAAGAATTGTCACTCCATGGCAACAACTTTTAATCAAGAGCTTGTTTCCTCTCGTTAGAATGAGAGTAAATCTCTTTGAGGGCTTTTTTTCCTCCACTTCAGTTTGGTTTTGCTTGTTGCTTTTCAAGTGAGCTGTCACATTTTCTAATTATAAAACATTCTGCACTTGCAGCAAAGATTGGGTTATGCAATTTTCTTAATTCAATAGATTGCTTGTCACTGCTGAACAGAAAACCTTTTATTATCTTTCAGTCTTTTTTACATCTACTTTTCCTAGGTCTTTGACATACTCGTGGGGGGGGGGGGAAAGGAATCTCTCCTTTGCATGTGCCATTGCATTTACCTAATTGCATAAGTAAATGCAATTTGACACTGGAAGGACATGGAATTGCAGCAGTTATGAACCAGTAACTTCCTTTGAGGCACAAAAATGTGTTTCCATGTTTTGTAGATGTGAAATATATCCCCTCCCACCCCCAAAATATTCAAAGCAGCTAAGTATATTTTTAAGGTTTTTACCTGAAGTTTACCTGATTCTGAAGTTTCACAAATTTTAAAGTTATCAATTCCGTAAGCACTTGATCAGGTGTGTATTCACTCTACAGTCATCTAATTGTATGTCATAACTTTTTCTCTAATTAGTCTAAATATTCCTCAAACTAGCTAAGATTGTCTTGAAAGCCTTGTTTTCACAAGAAAATAATTGGGTGCTCCTTTCTTCTAGAACTCTTTGATAGGATTCACTGATGCCAATTTTTCAATACTCCTTTTGGCCCGAATGCACTTGAAATAAGCCAAATGGTAGGTTTCTAATTAAAGAAACTTGTGATCTCTGGAAACAAGTGGCATTATATTGACAGTCTCTCTGGCAAAGTTGAGAAATTGAATGGTAAGTATAAATGAATGCAGTGAAAACCTGTATCACACTTGACAGCATTCCAGCAGCAAAATACAATCCTTATTAAACCAGACAATAGTCACAACAGCGAGTTCTGCAAATTGAGAATGTTCTAGAAAGCACAAGTCTTCCTTCATTAGAAGCTATATTGTTGCACCCAAAAATGAGTGACGCAAAACATATTCCTGATATCTTAATATTGGTGAAAATATCTGAAACTTAAAAGCACAGTAAACTGATATGTTTTTCAATCAAGTAATCAGTAGTGTAATTGTTACTCCAGAAAAAAGCTATAGAAATTGCTATCACGTGAAACAAGGCATTCTCAATGACAGGTACTGTCTGCTTTTATTTTTATTTTTGGAAGAATATATTTTGGGCAGTCATTCTAGATTATCCCTTCTGTGATACAGGATCTGACAGCTAGAGGTCTGAGAAAGAACAGAAAAATAGTTATTAGTGATTTTGAGAAAAAAATGTTTTGTTTTGTTTTTTTAAAAAGTGGGTATTTCCTTCCTGCCTTTCAATGCTGTAGGGATTTAGTGATTACAAGTGTTCTAGTTCTTGAAGCATTCATCCATAGTTGGTAGAAAACAATCAGCTTGCTTTTAATTTAGTTAATTTAAATGAATGCTCATTTATAAAATGTACCATACAAAGCTCAAGCTTTCTGAGTTATTTTTAATTCATTATCCCCTGCATACTCTTCCAGCAAAGCCAGATCTTAGCCTGCATTAGTGTTGCTTTGCACTGTTTCAACAACAAGCAAGTGTTTCTTGAAGCACTCTGCTGTATTTTGGAACACTCCTAGACGGGCTGATGACTACATTGGTAGTTGGAACCACACCACTCATTCTCCTTGCTCCTGCCTGCCAGTAAGAGAGGTTATTCTGCAAGAAACAGTGTACATCTGAAGAACTCAGATACTTCTTCGCTGGCTTAGTTCAGGAGATTTTCCTGGCTCATTCCAAGAATGAGAAAATGCAAAGGTATCTGTGTACATCCATTTCGGCTGTCCCCAGTGACACACATCCCCAGCTGTGGCTTTGTCTTCAGTACATGTTGTGTACTGCTCTAACCTCCAACTCCTCTTGTTCAGTGACTACCAAGATGTTCTGCTAAAATTCATCCATTTTTAGCAGCTCGGCTGTGTAAGGTTGCTTAGAAACCAGCCTTCTTATCCCCCACATTCTCATGACAGATTTCCTATGCAATAACATCACTGCATGACACATTTGTATCCAGACACGCGTTCCTTTTCCACTTGAGATTCTCCGAGTAAAGGTTGTTGGTGCTTCATGCAATTCGTAAACAGCATGTGGTAAATCACTGGAGTATTAAATCACTGCTACAGTCGAAATGAGCTCAAGTTTCGAACGTGAGCAGTTCTTCACTCCTGAATTTAGTTATTGATCTTTCCTTCCTGAGAGTAATTTCTAATTTTGTTTTTCAGACTGGGTTGCTAGCTGGTATTATGACTTTATGGTAATCTCCACTCCTTTGCTTTGGTATATAATACTGCTTGCACCATTTAGATGGTAACGGCTTTTGGTTGCAATTGCTTTCTCCTTTATGTTTGTACAAGGCATCTCATATGAACTGGGTATAATCATATTTATTAGTAAGAGAAATAGTTATATTTTTTAAAATGTCACTAATAAATATAAAATATATCAACTTGCAGTTGAAAAGAGTCATCACCAGGCACTTCATATTTACATACCTTTCTTTGACCTAAAGGTATTTGACACTGGTTTTGCTTAATTTCTCCTTCTCTGTTTGATAACAGTATTGCACTCCTGCCAGAATGGCAATGTGGTAGTCTGGCAAAATAATGAGAAAAGCTAACCGCCACATCTGGTAGAAAGAATATTTGCTATTGACAAAGACAATAAGGTCCCATCATAGTCTTGTTTAGTCTCACGTAAGGACCACATGCAACTTCATTCAAAACTACAGTCAGTGCTTTTATGAACTGTGCAATGTATCATCAGTGAACCATAATAGTTTGAAAATTTGTATAATTTTCATACATTTCTTTTTGTTAATTTTATTTTGTACCTATAAAACTTGTGCTTATTATTTGAACAGCATTTCAGACATTATGAACCAACAGTAGAACTTCCTTACTGTTCATACTCTCCCATAGCCATACTGGCTACATCTTCCTTGCACCCTCCCTTCAGATTGCTGTACACATTTATGAGATCCCCCTGAGCCTTCTCTTTTCCAAGCTGGACACTCCCAGCTCTCTCAGCCTTTCCTTGTAGGAGACACGGCTCTGTCCCTTAATAATCTTAGTGGCCCTTCGCTGGACTCTCGTAAGTAGCTCTGTATGTTGTACCGGTGAGCCCAGAACTGGACATAGTACTCCAGATGAGGCCCTACCAGTGCTGCAGTGAAGATTAGAGGGAAGAAATGTATATAACCTTTTTTTCCTCTCTCTAGCCTTCTTTTTTCATATATACAAGGAAAATGCTGTCAAAATTGGTTTTAGATGTGGATAGAATGGGAAAGGCTGGTTTCGACACACTGCAAGCATTCACTGTTGTTTTATTCTTAAAAACACTTTTCTTTTTCAAGAGGAGAATGTTTGATTTGGTTTCAGTTACATTTTACACTTCTTGTAATTCCATGTCTCTCTCTTGAAAAATATTTTACTCCTTCTTCTTAAATATACAGTAGACTTACAGTGCTATTTGCCACATTTGCCAACATTTTAAAATTTGTGGAGGATACTCAGCAACGTACAGTAACGGAACATATGGGCTCTTAATACCACAATAGTATTCACTTTTGTCTCATAACCAGAAAGCAAACACTGTGTATCATTAATTTACTTATATTGCACTTAAAAGGCCATTTGGCTTAGGTACCCTTAAAGTTCCACCACCTTGTTCAGACAAGTTGTATAGAACAGTATGTACATAAACTAGAAAAATGCCTAGAGACAGGCCATATATACATAAAATTACCTGGTCTTCAAAGTCGAATTCTGTATAAACAGTATCTCCAGAATCCATAATCAGACTGCAATCAAGTTCATTTGGCCCTAAAACAGGAAAGAAATTTAGATTTCAGAAATGGATTAGAAATTTTCACTTTATGTGATGCAACACTATAAGATTTCGTTGTCTGTATGTACGCAAAACCTGTGATCCAAGGAACCATTAAGATGTGCTAGATTACCCGGGTGAATGATATTCCATTAACAAAGCCTTCAAAGCATCCATAAAAGCTACCACAAATCTTAATAAGGAATGGTTATACTAAGTGGTGAATTGTTTCAGCTAGATTGCAAATTTATTGGGCAGGCTGTTCTGCGTGCCATGACTTGAAATTGTAAAATTGCCACAATGATGTTTCCTAAACCGTGTTTAGGAAAGAGAAAGGAAATACTGACTGCTGATTAGCAGATAAGGATCCTGGAGTGATGCTGATGGGGGACCAAAGCAGCACGCTTCCAGCAGCAACAGTCCCCGTTCCTATCCTACCTTACCCCTTTCCAAGGTGACAGTGTGGTTCTGCCCCTTCTCCCCATCATCTTCTGTGGCAGGATCAGGAAGTCATGCAGCCTCTTGTGCTTGGGATGACAAAACTCAGTTGCTGAGAAGGCTAGACCTGGCTAAGCTTTACAGTTTAGCTTCAGCTTAACTGCGGAAGGTGCAGAATAACAGAAGTTGAGACTGGTATTTCAAGAAGTCACAAAGGGGGTAGTCCTTGCTAAACCAGAATGGGAGGCTAAACCAGTAATCATCTTTCCATATAAACCCAGGAGGGGTGTGGCATGGACATCATATTCATATTCTGGTGTTATCACCTCATTCAGATTATCTCACTCCAAGGCAATGAGGAAGGAAAGTCTCCTGTGTCCTCCAGATGGTGCAGCCCTAAACCAAATCCTGCACGTATTCAACACACATTAAAATGTCAATAGGTGTGTCACTACAGGAGTATTTTTAACAGCATTATTAAAATGAGAGTAACAAAAATGCTGTAATGACAGACTTAAAAACTGTAACCAGCCAGTAGCCAGAGGTGAGTCCAGTCACTCACGGTCTTCATGTGGGGAGCAACAGGTAACACCAGGGGAAGTGTACGATGTGCTTTGTTTTGTGCCCTCCCGTTCCCAGTCAGATCACTGATGAGTAAGAGAAAACAACTCCTTTTCTGCTGGGTTACAGGTATCTCTACCCAGGTTACAGGTGTTTCTATCCAGTATGATGCTCCTGCAAGCACTGGCATTGAGGACACACAGTTTTAAGCCTGTTGCTGACCTGGAGTTGTTTTCTCACCATTAGAGATGTTTGTATGGGTGGCTCTCTGTGACAAGCACTATCAATAACAGATTTTGCAGTTCAATTTGTGCCAGTGCATTTACGTATTATCTGCTTTTGTTTGCTTTTAAAGTTTACATAGTAATAATCTATGTAGATGGTGAACTAAACATCACTAAGAGAGAGAACAGGGGAGAGGGACTGGATGTCACGATGACTAAAACCATAACTGTTTGCTAGAGATGATGATTCCAGGGTGTCTTAATTTGCAATCCATATTACAATTGCTGCCAAATTCATCTTTGATGCAACTCTTTGGACTATGTAAGAGATACCAGGGAAAGACTTGGGTCTACCATCTGCTGGTGGTTTGGGTTTTATTTTCTCCTCTAATGTTCATGTATACTTCATCAGATTGCTGTAGAAAAATAACAGAAAAGGATTATATTCTTTCTATCTTAGACGTCACGTGTATATATGCAGCAAGTTCTCTGGCATATACACTTATGGTCTTTTGAAAAAATACCTGTCTGTAAAAGATATATGGAACCAAACAGATTTACAACTGATGAGAGAATCTTAATTTTTTGATTTATTTTACACAGCTGACATCTCACTCTTAACATTGTGTCATTGCTGATAATACAATTTAATTAAGTCTCAGGCCTCACCAGCACTGGTCTACCTTGACACATCCATCACTTTTAAAGGCACTTGTATGCTGATATTTGATTAACTGTCACTTAACTACCAAGAGCAGCATGCATCCTTAGCTAGAAAGGGTAATATGAAATATGGTGCCACAAAGTTAAATGTAAAGGTCAGGCTGAAAATGAATACTTATGCATAATGTATCTTAAGTGATAAAAGCCATAGTGGTTATACAATTTTAATATGATCAAGCATCTTAAGCCTTTTTTCTTGAACTAAGACACCAGTTTCCTTGGGGAAGCATAACTCCTTTCTAGAATATATTCAAGGAAGGGCAGGAAAATTTAAAATATGTGTCCTTTCTTGGTTCAATGAAAACCAACAAAACCCATAACCATCTATCACTGAACAATATACAGACTTCTTTTGTCTAAAGACAAACCTACCAGAAATGAAGTGAAGCAAATGGCTGCTCCCAGGACAAGATAAAGTAATGAGGGGACACATAACAGTACTTGTGACATCCCTGGTGCAGTATGAGTAAGCACGAGTTGTTTGCTATCCTCCAGCTCGGTTTTTGTTGGAGGGAGCATATTTTGCTGAGTTTGGACTAAATCTTGCTAGAACAGGTCTTCTAGGGGAGAACAATAGGCTCCCTAACCAATTGCTAGTATACATGGCAGTGGAAGCATAATAGCCACTTTGCAAGGTACTGGTGGTCAGTAATCCTGGTGGTAGGCAAAGCTAGGTACTAGGGACAAGGCTAAAGCCAAGAGGAGAGTGTTAGAAAGAGTGGATAATTCAAAACCTAGCTCAGGTTTTCTAAGCCCAAGTTTCAGTCAGTTACATTTTATGTAAAATTTGTGGCAATGTTCCACTATCAAAGGAGAAACACAAAATGTTGGCTTAAGGGAAACAGGAGGATTGGTTAAAACATTTGGAAGCAAACATGCCTTGCTGCTTTCAATGAGTTTGCATGCTGCACATCTCATACTCTGCCAACAAAAAAGCTGTTCATAAGTAAGTTTCACTGCCTTTTCTGAGTAAATTGCATTGTTTTTCCTTTGATAAATTGGTACACTGAGAACTAGGCTATAAAAAAAAACACTTGTTTACGACTAGGAGGAAAGTCTTACAATCTGAATTGTCCAAATTCCTTTCGAAGAAATGCCCCATTCCACCAGCTAATCTCAGTTCTTGGTTATCTTAGAGCCTTCGTGTGCTCATATGAACCTATTGCAAACAATCTGAGTCACTGTATCAATTTCAAAACGGGAAACTCAACAGTTAAAAACATTAAGAAAATGCATGAAAGCTCTACCACCATGGAGAAATATCTTGCAAGCACCTGATCTGAAAAGGTACTCTTATGATTTATAATACGCTTCCTCAATTCCAGGTCATGCAGAAAGTTGAGGTAAGGGAAGCCTGGTCATTTTCATATGCCCTGTGTTTTCCTTAGGGAAAAAACAGAGAGTATTTTATTAGGTACGGTACTGCACAATTAAAAAATAAATCAGTTAGAAGTTTTTATTAAACCCCTGTTAACTGAATAATCAGCTCTCCAGGGAGCAGCAGGCTGCTGAAAAAGGAAGCATCAGATCAGCTAGAATGCATTCCCTTTTTTTGCTAGGCTTTGTATCTTGACACTAGAGGCATCATTCATAAAGATTTGTTTTGCTAGGAACCCAAGAGGATTCAATGACACCTCACTGAGAGATGAGTTGAATTAATGTGTGGCTCAAGTTGTACAAGGGTGCACTGACAGGAGCCACCCCTCCCAGGTCTGACTCCCCTGCCCCTGGAGTGGTGGGGGGCTGTGCTCAGTCACTTCCTTCACCGTGAGGCTGTACTTTTAAATTTTATGCCGAATTTAGGTATTGTTTGTTGCTTCTAAGCTGAATTGCACAGGATTGGTCATGGAAAGCTGAGAGGGTACGGCTCTTACAGGCAGGTGTGTGATTCCTACCACAGAAATGCACCCCAGAACCCAGGGGGATCATGGCTGTAAATGTCTCTGGTCCTATAAAATATTTCAGTGTTCTGAAATACGTGTCATTTTCTTGAAAGTGTGTTCATCCTAAGTTTTCATGAATGCGAATGTCAAGCACTACTTTTCACAGTTCAGTAAATTCATTTATACAATGAAACTAAATTGTACTGATCTGTCTAAATTTATCTGCAGTTGATTTAACTTCCCATTACAAGGTAGCTACACCCCATCATGTGAGTTAATTACATCTGCTCCTTGGATCACTTGTGGTTTTGCACATCAGCTAATGTATTTCCAATCCTTGCTTAAATCCATTACTTACTTCAAATCCTGGTAGCAATTCTATTCAATATGGTTCATTGGCTCAAATATGCCCATACTCATATTTTAACAACCATAGTATTCGCACTGTTCAACACTGATTGTCATAAAAAGTAATGTAAGACTATCCTGTGAAACATGTTACTTCTCTAAATACCATGTTTAGGCTCAATAAAAAGACACATTTTTATTTTGTTATGGAACATGCTCTGAAGCACCGTCTAATAACTCAAGTACTATGTGCTGCATATAAGCACTTGGGTAAGACAAATGCTTAGAAGATAAAGTTCAAGTGGAATATAACAGAAATAATTTGCTGAAGGATTGATTAGTATTAGCATGATTACATTTTAATTTTGCTCTCAGTAAGATGCTTCTAATACAAATTTTATTGCAACCTTGCACTGTTGAGTTTCATGACAGGATGTTGCTCTTAGCAACACTCTTAATATGTTGCAGAAAGCAATGAGAAAACTGTTTTTTAATCTATCAAAATATTCAGTTTTCTTTCAGCATAAATTGTTACACAGTTGATTACAACTGGATTTTAGAGGTATAACATGAAATCGATTGATGTGGAGGCATGAAAATATTAGAAATATGTTTCTATTTAGCCATCAGTAATGAAAATATATTGCAACATCACTAAAAGATTAAAAGACAAAAAGTGAGATCAAGGCAATGCTGGGATTGCGATTCTAGAAATTAAATATCTGGTCTCACAGGATCTCTAGAAATCCTACCTCAAATCTCCTTACTATTATTGGTGCTCAGATTAGGCACCAATTAGATGATTGTGGCATGGCTTCTGATAAAGCTCATAGCTCTCCAATTGCCTTGATGAGGAATTTATTAAGTAGAGCAGACTTCAAAGGAACTGACTGGAACTCATCCAGAATCACAATCAGTTTGTGCAAATTGTTTAGCTTTTGCCAATCTGTTTGTCAGAGCTAGAACTTTTATGACATTTCTTTCCCCTTGCTATTCAGTACTTCGCTCATTTAATTAGGGAATCCACAGGTAATTATCATATTGCTATACAGTGGCAATGCCATTTTAGGTTTGGAATCAATCTCCTGCCTCTAGGAATAAAGCTAAGCACAAAAGAGGTAAGCATGCCACTTAACAGAGAAAGTTAGTAGTCTTTATTCTTGTGTGCATCTTATATCGAAGATGAACACTAGAAATATAGGGGTTTTTTAGCTAATGCACGTTTTATCGTTGTCAACCCCCCTGCCCTTTGGTATTTCACCTGTATCTCATTTTTAACATTATCGAAAATAGCCTTATGGGTGTGGTTTTTAGGCTAGCTAGCTTGGAACCCCCTTTCAAATCTTCAAAATATGACCTAATCTTTCTGTCTGAAGCACTGCTCTTTGCAAATGTCTTGCTAGTAGAAAAAAAGTAATTCCCCCCTTTGTCAAAAAGAGATAATAGGTGTATTGCTACTACTAAACTTCATTGTGCTTCATCAATTCCTTCTTCCTTGGCAGCCCTTAGATGATTGTTCATGAGTACAAATAACTGAATCTCCCCTGTCTGCCAATTTATGGCAGATGAGTTTTCCTTTAAACAGAGGAGAGATCACATACACAATTTTCTCTACTATACACATCTAATCTTTAATAAAGCTAGTAAATTTTACAGGAAAATCTTTCACCTAGAATTTTCTTTTTGTGTGCTGTTTCACAAGACATTTAGGACCTCATCTACCTATATAACCCTCATGGGCTACTTGGAAAGCAGCCAGGGATGCCATCTGTAAAAAGAAAAATTAGTGAAGTTACCAAGGAAAATTTTCCCGTTCCCCTCAATATTTCTGATAGATGTTATGGATTTTCAGTGCTTTGAACTTTAGCTTCAATTCTTTTGCAGTCCTTTGTCCCTCAAAGTCTTTTTCTTTGAAAACATTCAAGACTCAGTAAGCACAAATAATAAATATATAAATAAATAACCCCCCCAAACTCCTGAATTACATTCACACACAGTTTCAGAATTAGTATATATTATTAGGTAGGAAGGATGATTATTAATCTCATAGGACTGGTTTTCGGGTGAACACTGAGGTATCATCTGGAACTGAAACAAGATGGCTGACAACAGGAATCAATCAACTTCTAAAGTTTTTGTATTAATGATGTAGTTGTTTAGTGGACTATTTACAGTATTTTAAGGTGAGCTTGTAGATAAACAAGATATTAGGTGAGCTGTATGAAGTTTCTGAGTGTAAAGAGATTTTTTTGGTCTTGGTTGTGCAAATGTTTGAGGTCAGTCAAGACTTTGCTGAAGCACTTACATCTAGACTTGAGGAATATTAAAAGGAATCCCAGCAGTGTCAAAAGCAGTATAAAAAATGTGGTTCTTTAAATCTTATATTAACTCACCCGCTGCAGCCTCTTTGTTTGCAAATAGTTTATTGTCAACTGCCGAACTTATGTCAAAGAACACTTCTTCTTCATCTCTGTCTGCATCAAACTGTTTAAAAAAAAGAGAAAGTTGGGAATCAGACATTGTGTACTACTTGGCTGAACATCAACGTGTAACATGACTTCTCACCCCAACCCTTCATCATGGGAACCTTTCTATTTTTCTGTGTGCCATCCATTGCTTTCGGTATGAGTTATCTTAATTTTGACTGAAAATTAAACTAATTTTTTAAACTATTTTGCCTATTTTTAACAGCTTGTCAGGACCAGAAGCTACAGTAAAATTGACGTGCTCTCAGAGAATGAAGTTTCAAAGCAGAAAGTAAAACTAGTAATACATATTACTTTTTCAGCCATTGGATGGTTGAGAAAAATGACAACGTAGATAGCAGAAATATGATTACTTTATCGTCACTTCTTTTCAGAGATTAACATTCATTACTTAATTTGCAAGTGAAAAATTTTCAGCAACTTCTGAATTGTCTGAAATCAATTCTTCTGACATGTACGTGTGTACGATTTCTTCAAGTAGTTGAGCAAACTTCTTAGGAAAAAGTAAAGTATTTTTTACAGTCCCCTATTATATAGAAAAGAAAGCTTTCCTTGCTCTTGCACTAACGAAAAGTCTATTGGTTCAATGATAAATTAATAAAATCAGGAAAGCAAAGCTCCTTTGAAATGTGAAATAATTTCTGGGCATGACATGTATGATCTGGAATATAATATTGGCCAATTTGGGCCTCAATCCTAAACCTAAGGTCGAATCCTAGTCTAGTAACTAGGGCTGTGCTCCCTCCCAGCTTCTCCTGCCCCTGCAGACACTGGCACAGCAGAGGAGCTGAAAAGTCCTTGACTGTCCTGGCAACAGCTATAAACACCAGTGAGTGATCAGCCTTCTTCTCAGCACAAATCCAAACACAGCCTCACACTATCTACTATGAATAAAGTTAATTCTGTCACAGCTGAAACCAGGTTAAATGCTTGACAGTGGGTTTCTGGTTTTTCTTATCATATTTATCAAGCTTCATTCATTTAGATCATCACTTATTGAGGCTTTCTTTGGGAAAAAATTGGACTTTTTATTACTGTTGCTCTGGATTTTTTTCTTATTTCTTGAATTGAGGCCAGGTACATTACTTTGGAAAAAGGGAATACTGTAACTTCAAGTTACAGGACCAAGCAAATAATGGTCACATCATTCAGTGCATGCCCCTCTGTATAAGAGTCACTTTTTTCCATTATTCTGTATCTTCAGTGTAGTATGTTTTAGGATGCAGAATGAACCCCAGAATGAAAAGCATTACACTAGCGATTACAAGCTCATGAACTTCAGCAGGCTCTTTCTTCCAAGTCCAAGCCTACTGAGCACTTTTTCATATGTTTTGCCAGTACCTGACTGTCTCGTGGTAAAAATAATAGGCAGGGAAAAGCGAGGGAGAGTGAAGTTCAAGCCCTACTAGGAATTTTGCTGCAGAAGCTAATATTTATAGATGTTGTTTTCCAAGTATCTGTCTCAGAATATAGCATGACAGTTAATGAGTTAATTTTAGAGAGATACCGGATTGCTTGTCTAACACCCACCATTACAATATCAGTATCACTCTTTTCATCATGCCTTATGATGACTTATGTTTTATCTATATTACTTAAGCTGTTCTGTCACTGGTAATGAAATTGGCTTTCTTATGGAATTTTCCACCAGCACCTCAAGGTAAACTCAGAGGCAAATATCAGCCCAAGAATAATTATTTAGAGTGGCAGATGTCAGAAATAGTTCCAAAAATATGGAAAGAACATCAAAGAGATAAAGAACAATTCTGCAAACTGGGTCTGTGTGAAAGAAGGAAAATGGAAGCTTGTGGGAGGGCAGAGTATGCTAGAGAGAGGCAACCATTGTAGAAAGTTTGCTGTCAATAAGCTTAACTCTCAGTACCTGACTGCTCAAATCTTAATTGGCATTAGTCCCGATTTAAATCTTTAAGGTCTTAGTATTTAGCTTTATGCTTAGCTCAGGACTAGAGTTCATTTCCATCATAGATGAGCCCACTGTAATTATCAATACATAGAGTTTTCTGACTGGTTCTTGAAATGGAGCTTCTGACTGACCCTGAGGACCACTCACAAGTTCATCCTGTGACACAGCACAGTTGTCCATCTGTCTGGGCAGACATCTGTTCTTGAGGAGTTATTTTGCCATTCAGTGTTAATCAAAACTCAAAGCATTATCTTTTATTTACAAAGCGGAATTTGTTTGTGTTTACCTATTACAAGCATTACATCTTAAATTGTGTCAAAACTGAGCCTTGTGGAAGAACAGATCTTAGATAAAGCTGTTGGGCTGCTGTTGGGCAATTTATTATCCATGCAAAACCAGAAGCTTTGGAATTTCCTTTTTGATAAGAAGAGTATTGATCTCTGTGAATTCTTCTGCACTGGTCTGTCTCCAAGGAAGTATGGGGATATGCTTTTCTTCTGTCGCTTCTCAGAAAAAAATGTACATGTTTCAATATGATGTCTTCCCTAGCACATATATAATATGATGTTTGTGGCTATGTGTATGCATAAAAACTAGGAAACTGTCGTCAGTTAGCGTCTGATCGTTACCGTGTAGGTCACACCACACTTGGAGAGGTGACAAGCTTGCTTTCTCATTAGTAGCATTCGTCTGACTAATCCACTTTACCATGAAAAAAGCGCATGATCAACCTCAAAACCTTCTGAAGGTTCCAAGAATTTGAAACATCAACTTCCCCCATTCAAAGAACACCAGCTGTGCTTCAGTACTCTGAAAAATCTGGGCTTTGTAATGAAAGCCTAGATTGTCACCCAAAGAAAACCAATTATTTGAAGCTTGCACATAGACTCAGTTTTCCCCTCACAAAATAAGAACTGTAATACCCTGAGCCACAGGAAGGCAAGGTAGCTTTCACAGAGAAAATATTTTTGAAAGAAACTAAGTAACCGTGTGAATTTGTACTTCATTGAATTGCTAAACATTTTAAAATGAAAGCCTTTGAGAATTATTGGAGGCTCGAATAAAACATAAAAGGTATTCAAACAACCCCATTCACAAAGAACAAACAGCAGTAAACTCATATTTTTAGCAGAACATATCTAAATCAATAGGTTGCCTTCCCTACCGAAAACAAATCCCTACTTGCTTCAAAACATAGCTCTTTGTAACTAAATTATCTACTGGTATCTTTATGGATGGCTCAGTTTAATTATAGTCAAGGCCTATGTTTTATAGAAATATAATTTTATTAAGCATGCCACTGAAAGCTTTTGCAATACACAAGACACATGAACTCTATTGTTATCTGAATTGATATAATCTTTACCAGTGGTGCAGGAAGAAGCAAAGTATCTCTTCCCTGTGAGGTCAGTGGGGTTTCCCTCAATGAGGCGCTAATGGGGTTTTTGTACTTTGCTATCTCTGTTTTGTTGGGGCAGGAAAAGATGAGGGAGGACCTCAGAGGACAAGAGAATCAGATTTCTTTAAGAAACCAGCATAAATCTCTGAGCCAAGAAAGATTTCACAAACCTTTCTGAAGTACATTTGGGGGCTATGCTTGGTAAGAATCTAGTAAAGTCCTTCCCCTGTCCAACACATACATGTGGAAGCTGCAGGGCAGCAATCTCTACATCACTTCTGTGAGTGGTCCTGCTTCCTGCTCCCTGTGAAGAAGGAAAGTACGAGAGGCTTTTTCTACCTTCTGTCTCCTCAGTCAGTTCAATAATCGTGTTTCTGTGGGAGGAAGAGGTAATACAGCATTATTTGGGAGGATGGGAATTTACCACACCCACACACTATAGCTACACCACATGCTGTTCTGCTCCCAGCTGGTTTGGGGGAACACATCCCAAGGACTAAAGCAGGAACAAAACAGATCTCTGAAGTCTCCAAGGTTTTCTTGTAGTTGAGTTTCAGATAGCTTTGATTTGCTCTGACATCATGATTTAGTAAAGAAATGACTAGTAGAAGACATGTGCCTCAGTATATATTGATTTATTTTTAATGAATGATGACTGGCATAACGATGAGTTTTCTGGGAAGTTGGCATCCCAGTTTCATGTGAACATTGTTGAATTGGAGGGTTTGGTGCTGGCACAGTGTTATATGTAAAAATTATGGAAAATATTTTCTAGATCATCTGCATTGTAAGTAATTGTTCTACGGAAAGCAGGTTGTACTCTCTGCTCTCGGCAAGAAAATGATTAGTGTTTCTAAACAAATACCCAACAAATCCTAGCCAACAGAAGGAGTTTCACAGAAAAATTGTTCGAGTTGTTGAACATTGCGAATCTCACTGGTCAGTGATGATAAATGGACTTTTGGTAATACCACGTATTGAGTTAAAGAAAAAAGTGCACAGCTCTTTCCTCACATCAATCAAGGGGGCAAGCATCAAGGAAACTACAGTTAGCTAGAATCTTGAGTGAGGGTGAAGTCATTCAGCCTGGCACTGCCCCTACAGACTGATTCACCCCGAGTGACATTACTGGTCTTTGCAGGTGGTTTATCCAAAATGACAGCCCCAAAATGGGGGAGATCATAACAGCCTTTAAAAATTTGAGTACAGGAAAAATATAAAGAAATCTGTTTGCAGCAGACTTGCAGGGAATTCTTGTGTGCACTTTGAAATAAGGTTAGAAATGCAGAAAGCATAAAAAAACCCTAAGCAAATAGATGTAGTTAAATATTATTTGCAGCAGTAGATGAAAATGTCCTCTATTTGAGAACATGATGGATGTCAATAAAAAGAAAATAAGCAATGTCCTAATTAAAATAACAACATTGGGCTAATCGTTCTATGGCGATATCCCATCCACCTTAAAATTAAATAGGATTACAGGAACTGGATGATGAATACTCTCTTTGCTTCTTTACAGGCAAAGACTCCAGCAATAACTGCAATTCATAAATGGTCAAGTGTTTTCTCAGTCATTGAAACATACATTATGTCACTTGAATACCCAAAGTATTGTACAGTTAGACGCAAAGGTGATCTGATTATCAGACCCACTTGCTGCAAGCAAGATGCTGTT